CTTCCCCGCGGGACGGGCGCACCGGGGCTGCCCGTCTGTCTCCGCACTGCGTTGCTCTGTTTACGCTCAACTTCGGAGTCAGACCGGTCTTTACGTTAAGAGCGTAAAGAATGTAACAGCACGGAAGGGTCCCTTTGGTTTAACTCGATGTTTTGGGTTTTTTTTCCCCCTCCATTAGCCCTCGATCCGTCCGCCAGGAACACACCCGCCACGCCCTGCCCGGCCCAGGTAAACTGCAGTTAAAGGCAGCTTAACCGTGGGCAATCGAGCATCGTTTGGCCGATGATCATGGAGCCGTGGAACTGTGCACAGCTCCAGAAGAGGTAGTACAGCTGGGCTGCCCAGAAACAAACACCTACCTCAGGACCCCACCGCTGCAGTCCTTGTGAGGGCAGTCCCAAACTCCACGGCAACACAAGTAAGTCCCCAGGATTCAGAAAATCCCGCGTTTAAAAGTGAATTCCAAACCCTGGAAATGCTGGTTGTATTTCATCAAGAAATAATTATTCTTCTTCATATTACAGATTATTTCTTTTTTAATGCATAAGTTACAGTAGAAGAAAAAAGAAACACAGTCCCACAGCACTTAACAGTTCTTTTATTTCAGGAAAAGAAACAGCAAAGAAATCACTGTATTAGGAAAGCTATTTCAGCTATGTCTTTGGTATTACTCAGTAGAACTCAACCGTGGATAAAACTATGCACAGGAAACAATATGTAACAGTAGTAAACAATTAAAGCTTTGTCATAGGCACCACATGCTTTTTTATTACACTCTTTGTTAAAGAACTGGAGCTATATTATAAGTAGTAAACCCTGGTGTCCTGTGGTGATAAAACAATGCCTCTCACCCCATGAATACCCTTTAAGGACATCTGGTGCAAAGACATGTTTTTATTCCCATTCTTGTCTAAGTGCTTGTTCAGTTATTACCCACAGAAAAACCTGTCTAGTCAGGAGGCTTAGCAACACTTGCAGCAGGCTGCCAGAGACTCCATCCACCTCTAGGCAATATATCAAGACATTGAATGGATGAGTCTAGGTGGACAGGGCGGGGGAAAGACAGATTGTGGATGGGAGGAAAAAGCAGAGGGGAGCTAAAGATGTGCTCCAGCCTCCTTGGAAATAAAATTAACTTCCTTTTCTGTGAAATGACACTGCCCAACTGGTGGCCACAAAAAGTAAAGCTGCAATGGGAACTGCAAGGAGAGATGAAGCCTTCACTAAGCATGTGGGACACATCTCCTGTAAGGAGCAAGTTGGAGACCTCTACACCCAGGTGCAAAAATTGTTTTAAATGGCAGTTACCAGGTATGTCTGAGTAGCAATGTTATTTCATCCAAGCCTGAGGTAAAGACCACAGGAGTAGATTCAGGCACAGCTGGAAGAGACAGTTAGTGAAGGGAAAAAAAAAAAAAAAAAAAAAAAAATAGCCCCTAAAGAAACAAAGTTACTGCATAGCCATGGCTCTTCTGCCAAGAGATTTAGGGAGAGCAAAACCTGCCACAGAACAAAATGGTGGAAGTTCTGTTGTGCCGGATGAAGAAGAGGAAGGGATGATCTGCAGTGAACTCGGGAACGATCATTGCACAGCGCAGCAGCATCACTCCTGCTGTGGCAGCTGCTGCTTCGGTGCCTTCTTCATTGACTTCCACAAAGGACTTGTGGACCACTTCAGAGAGCACCAGCTCATTGCCAGCCGACATTCCCGAGAAGTCTGCCTTCCCTAAGTCAAAGGCATCAGGCATTCCCATGCTTCTCAGAAGGGGTTTCAGAGCATAATCTTCTTCCAGTTTAAATCTGGGTAAAGACACCCTCACCTCTGTACAGTCCATCATTTCAGGATTGATCCAATCTGTCAGCTTCTCATAAGTAAGTTCTCTTTCCAGCTAAAGAAAAAACCCAAATTTACATCATTAAAATGAGAGTTTTACACAGGCCGAAGTAAGGATTACTGTGTATGGTTATGCAGTGCCTTAACATGCATCTTTTTTCCAGGGTTTAGAGTGTCTCAAGCCAAAAGTGCAAGTTACACTTCTCACTAGAGACTGTGGTCCCCACTGAGATCAATCCCATATGCTTTTTGGTAGAAACAATAACACTTAGTCTCTTCCATGTAAAAAGCTTACTTTTATAAAACCTGTTAGATTGGGGTTGCTTTTAGATTTTTACATATGTGAAGCAAAGGTACAGAACTGATGACAAAGTCCCAAAGAAACTCAACCCAGTTCTTCTGTCTCTTAACCGAAGGATCCTCCTTCAGGTTGACAGGCTGACAAAGAAGTCTGCTTACAAGGCCCTCTGCAGACACAATGACCTATTAATAAGGTCCTTGTCCAGAGCATGAAAAAGCCAAAACTTGCACCTCCTCAACAGAAGAGATCCTGCACTTTCCTGTGAGCCTGCTTCCAGGTGGTGGACCAGAGACAATGTCAGCTGTTCAAAACTAAAGATCTATAGGAGAAGCTGCAGGACTTCCTTAAAAGCTTCCCCAAGTCCCCTCTCACCACACAGGATGCTCACCATAACCACTGCTAACCTCTGCTCCTGAGAAGGGTCAGGTGGTCTTCCTGAGCCTCCGGCTAAGGGGATCACAGAGCTTGATCAGTGATACAAAGCCTGACAATCACTTTGAGGGCAGGGAGGCGTGGGACATTTCGGCTTGTGCTGAGTGCCAGTGACATAACAGACTTGCAGTTCAATTCCAGAGCTATATGCAATACCAGACTTTCTTCCCTGGAAGGATGCAGACTGTCTGTGCACTTAGCTCCACAACTTACATGTTCCAAACCAGTGGATCCATCTTCAATTGCATCAGGGAGCAGGATGAACATGCTGAGCTCATTACCGACATAGGGCAGCTCAAGGATTTTGGTCTGGAAGTCCCCAATATAGGTCATGTTAAAACTATCCTTCATCATCATCATCTGCACAAGTTTGGTCTCTTTCTAAAAATTAAGAGATACTGACAGTTAGTACTGAGCTAGTATGCTGGTCTCAAAATTCAAAGCAGGCATCCAGTTACTCAGGGCATTTTAGGATTTGTCTAAAGAGAACCAAACACCCCACAGAGTACAGCCCCCACCACTATCTTCTGTAAAGCAGGAAGTGAGAAGTTCCCTGAGATTCCATTTTTAATTACTAATGTGGAAACATCTGTGATAAAGACACAAGGCCACACAGCATGTAAAAACCATCCAGTGAGTCATAAGTGCAAGAGTCACAGAAATGTCACAGGATACTGGAAAAACTCTTGGGATGTTGAAGCAACTCTTTGCTACTGGACAGATTGTAAACATGAGGTTACCTCTGGGGTTTCCAGGTGCTCATTTCAGCCTACTCACTTCTGCAGCTCATCAGCAGCTCGTTAGGAGTAGGATGAAAGCCATTTAGTTGCACAAGGAAAGAGAGTTGCAGCTAGTGTATCTAAAACCGAGGTGTTTGAGTGAGCCTAAGCAGCATTCTCCAACCTTACATCTTAAAACTTTCTCCAGTAGTTACCTGGATCCCAAAGACTCCAATATTTTAAAAAATAACATAAGATATACTCTGTATTTACAAAGCAAAAGGAAATCTCAGAGCTAGGCTGTGCCTTACTCCAGGAACATTCAGATCTAGGTCATGAGCTCACCACAGCAGGGCAGCTTCACTCAAGTTTCAGTTCTAGGTTTTGTAACTATGTAAGAGGGCTACCTCTCAAACCAAAGGGTAAAAGGAAAAAAGAAAAGATGGAATTTAAGAAATACTTGTTATATGTGAAACATAACAGAAATTAAACAAAGAGCATTCATATTAAAGGGACAGGATATTTGAAGTTTCAAACAGCCAACCCAAGGTAACCCTGCTTGAATAACTTTTTTCTTCAGAGGTCAAGGTATTCATTTCAGAGTACTTCAGAGTAACAATGCATTGTCAGCATTTTAGCACATCTAACCTTGTTAATTTGAAATGGCATTTCTGCTGTTTTCTCTTTGTTGAACTGCTTTTCCCAGCTGCCTTTGAAATAAATGGCATTCACCAATACAAGTCTGGTCTGTGAATCAAGAATCCCCTGTGCCAACATGTTCTGAATTTTACCTTTATGATACATAGAAAAAAAAAAGAAAACATTTAACAGCTTAACATGTATCTCATTATTATCTAGCATAGTATCTACTCTGTAATTAATACACAATAAGAGAATTATGTACTGAACAGAGCAAGAGTTCAAAGTCTGGGGTTTTTTCCTAAATCACAATATTGTATCTTGAAATAGCTGTTTACCCAAGCCCTGGATGCCACGGAAAACAACAGGGCATTTTACAAAACACTCACCTTCAGTCCTTTCCTTTACCCAGCCATTTATTTGTTTTCTGGAATCCTCCCAAGCATGGATGAAGTCAGTCGGTTCTAGGCCAGCATGGTAGAGTTTCTGAGTTGACTCTATAAACGACTAACACAGACATTCAGAACAGCTTTTCAGCAATCTCCTTCACTCTCATTCAGCCACAGATGATTCTTAAATACACCAAGACCATCTGCCCACTTCCCTCCCTCCGGTTTCATAGAAAGCCACTGAAGTTTTGTCTGACACACCCCTATTAGGTTTTATATTATTTATTTAAACTAGGATTTGTCCTGTGTATGTTATTAAGTCAAACTGCTTATCTACATTGCTACAAAGTTCTACATAATTTAATTGAGAAATGATGTGGCCAGTTTTTGGAGTTTTTTTTTTTAAGCTTCTCTCTACTTGAATGTTATTGTTAAACCTCCCAGACTAATAAAAAAACACAGTTCAGAAGGTAAACTGATTTTTCTTAAGAGAGGAAAAAAAAATATACCTTCTCTCTGATTTAGTTAGATCTTTATTATACAGAAGCAAACTTTTAGAGTACAATCCATACAATTTTAACTATTAGACAAGCATTCTTCCTAAAAAGAATCGCTGTAAATCACTTAAGGGGCAGGAGGGGATAGAGCCTTTCACCATCCTGCTTGTAGGGAAGCACCTAAAAGAACACATGTAAGTTAATACCCATTAACCTAATATGGAAAATCTTAAAAGCCATGTACTCCTCTCAGTATGATCTCTGGATGACTTACATAACAGAAAAACTAGAAAATACTGCCTATGATGAAGAGCAAAAAAAATGCTTTTCCATCATAGTTACACACAATCAAGAGGAACAGAGATATGTCACAACCACTTGTCCCACATCCAAAAATATGAATGGATCATGAAACCCTGAAGAGTCTGATGGATTTTACTGTGCTTTGCACCAGCTGTGCCTTCAGATCACAGGTTGTCTAAAAGGAGCTCCTCCACCAAGTTTAGATACTGGACTCTGCCATAATCTACTGCATTAGTAGGTTTCAGCCTAGAGAATCTGGAAAGTAAACCCCAAAGCCTGCCTTTGACCTCCAAAGGAAATATGTAGCAAGTACATTACACTAAAAAACACCACAAATTTCCTGTTACTTACTGACAGAAACTCAAATGTCTTTTCTCCATAAAGTCGGTTAGCAGTTCTCAGTATATATTTGGTGTTTGGATCATTAATTTCAGAGAGAAGAGATTGATACTCATTGGAAGCATCCTCAGCTTTCCTCAGAGAAAGCACCTGTGAAAACACAAACATGATCAGCAGAGTCTATGCCTTCCCTAAACACACTTGCTTCAGCTTTGGTTTTTTTTTTTCTAATGACTTTTGAGTGTAAAAAACGTGACTTGAAGTCAAAAGATTTTTTCATCCCACCTCCCATCTGGAGGTTATCGTGCAAGTCACATATGATGCACCCAGCCAGATGTGGTACAAGTGATAAATGAGGGACAAGAGTCAGCAGTGTTGAGCTTCCCTCACTCAAGCCAAGCACTTAAGAATCACAGAATGGTTGAGATTGGAAGGGACCTCTGCAGGTCCTCTGGTACAACCCCTGTGCTCAAGCAGGGCCACCTACAGCTGGTAGCCCAGGACTATGTCCAGACAGTTTTTGAATGTCCAAGTACGGCAGTAATATATTTTTTTGAGAAACTTTTATAGATTTAAATGAAAACAAAATATGTGTTTATACTCCTCTTCCACTGTGCAAAACAGGCACACATCATAACAAAAATTACTGATTATGCATTTATTACTGTCAGCTGTATATGTAAAAAATGTGCCGAGTGGTATTTGCCACCTGAGCAAGTTTAAAAAGAAAAAAACTAAACCAACTAAATGCAGCTGCCATTCTGACAAACAGGGTGGACTCTTAATTTGCTGGCTACATTTTCAAAACATGTATAGTCTGATATTAAGCCAAAAGAAAACAGTAGAAGACAATATTTTACGTAGACAGAGAATCATCAAACCTTAAAAAAACCAAACCAAGTACATCTTAATGATATCCCAAAGGAAGAGCTGTCTCAAAAACAAAACAAGCAAACAAAAAAAAACAACTAAAATGACACAAAACCAAAAAAGGAACCTCTTAATTCCACACTGAAGGAAGCTCCCGCTATTACAAAAACCAAACCAAACCAAAACAAACCAACCACAAAACCAGGTACAGCTTACACACATACCAAAGGAAGATGTCTGCTTCCCAACACCAGAAGGACTAGCAGTTTATCCTAAGTGCAGGTCACAGTCTGTAATACAGACCTGTTGTTCATATGGTCTCATCACATTCAATACACGAGGTTTATTTGGACATACCTTTCCTATCTGGGCTTTGGTGTTACCTCTTGCACCCTGCAAGATCATAGACAAAGCAGAAGAAATACTAAAAGGAGAAAAGAATACATTCTGGCTGCTCTTGCTCTCACACAGCTTTCTTAAAAGGTCAAGTGCAAAAGTGGTATTTGCTGCACAGAGGCTGTCCATGGTTCAGAGCCTGGGAAATAAAACACAAAACAAGAAAGGCACAAATTTCTGTGAATACAAGCTGACAAATTACTTCTTTTACATTTCCCAGTACAAACTAGGCAGCAAATGGCATGATTAGGTTGGGAAATTATAAATTAGCTGAGAATTTGGTTTGGTGGAACATACACTTTAAATCTCATACTAAGCACTTGAGTTATTTTAGGGATTTATTGTCTGCTTTTGTATTTCAATCCCATACCTATAACAGAGACAGCAGTTTCCACTGGTTTCATTAGACTCTTCACCAGGTAAATAATATTACAGCTTTTGACATGATCACATACAACAGTATTTTGTTTAGGACTTATTAAAACAAGTCTCTTTTGACTTGACAGTTATTTGCCTTTATAGAAAAGCCAGAGCAAAAAGTTAGGCATCATAAGAGCAGAACTATAGACTCTTACCTTCTTTAAGTCTGTATAACTTCAGTATTACCTTCCGTTTACCCCCCGCGTGCACGCTGCGTTTTAAAGCTAGCAGCCAGAAGTCAGCAGAATGGCTTGATGTAGAAGATTAAAAAAGAAAAGGGAAAAAAAAAATATTTCGTCAGCATGACACACGACTGTAATTTCCTGCTGTAGCACAAAGAAAAATCAAAGTTCATTTCAGTTCCACTTTATTGCCTGCAACACAACAAAAAAAAAAACCTGCTTATGGATCACTTTACGGTACATGCACACTTCAACATGTGTAACTTGATGCAAGTCATACTTCACATACGTCAGCTGTATAAGTAAACTAACCCGAGATTAAACTATGCCTATAAAAGGAGCAGTAAATACTAGAATGCTGAATTAACTACAGGCTAGTATCACCAGCTATTGTATGATATCTGCTGGTAGTAAAAGTTTCTGTTTTATTCTTCCCTTAAGGCAGTGCCCAGTGTTGGTACGTTACCACAGAAGAAAAACCAACGCCCAATTCCTATTACAGATTCATTATCTCAAACAAATAGATCAAAAGAACAAGTTTCTGCATGCATGATGTTCCACCTAAGAAAATTCCTTGCTAGTGGCTTTTCTACAAACAGGGACAACTTTTCTTATTTTTCTTACTCCATAACGGGGTGTGGGGGGTGTGTGTGTGGGGGGAGGGTGTCTGTGGGGCAAACTTAGATGGAATCAATCCCCCAATTCTGCTGGCAAAATTAATTAATTATATGTCCTTTACAGCACAAGTAGGAGACACTGAGCATCAGTAACTCTTTCCTCACTGGTGGTCTCAGGTCAGCGGCGAGGCACTCGGGAGGCTTCTGGATATATTCCTACCGCCATGAATTTGAAGCATGCGTTCCCAGGAGTAAACACCTACGCTTTAGGACAGCTAA